TATGGATCGGGTGCCACGTTCCGGTACCAGGATAGTATATGAGGATCGGAGTGTCACGTACCGACACGAGGGGAATAAAGATAAAGAATCTTGTAAGATGTTAATATATTCAATCTAATGAACCTAATTCCCAAATGAGTATGATGAGGAGACGTGAGTCCTCATTGATGAGCTTGGTGTTGTAACCAAGGGCTATGGTAATTGTAAAAGCTGCATGCTAAGGATATTAGTTGATTTTATGATATTATCTGATATATACTGTTTTCTATTTTGAGTTGGCCGATGATATCTACTCAGTACCCGTGTTTTGTACTGACCCCTACTTCTATGTTTTCTTCTTGTTTATTTGTGGAGTGCAGCAAACGTGCCGTCGCCTTTGACTCAACAGTAATTCAAGCCAGTCTTACTATACCGGAAATTCAGGGTGAGCTAATGCTTGTAGCTTGGACTGGATCTTCTTCAAGTCTTGATGCCTTGAACTTCCGGCATGGACTAGCTTCTTATGTATTTTTAGCTTTTAGAATACTCTTAGTTTAGTAATTTGATCATAGATGTTCTTGTAGTGATGACTTCTAGATTTTTGGGATAATAATAGTTATTGATTTTATTTATGAGTTTAAGTCTTCCACATTACTTTCTGTTTATATTATATTGAAATGTTAAGGTTTAGATTGGTTGGTTCGCTCACATAGGAAGGTAAGTGTGGGTGCCAGTCGCGGCCCAGATTTGGGTCGTGACATGTATAATACAAGCAACAAATTGAAGCTTAGTATTCTGTACACTGAAATATAAAACACTCAACTGCTTATGATGTATAACATAAAAAAAACATTCAAATTAGATTTGCGAAAAGTATTAAAAAACAATACAAAAAGAAGGGGGAAGAGGGGTCGGGAAAATATTTTGAATAATTTTGAGTATACAATAAAAATAGTTAAATAATATACATATTATAGTCCATAAAATTTTAAATTAGAGATATGTGGACACTAAAATAAAAATTTAAAAATAACAAGTAAACAGAATAAATATAGATGTTTTATATTAATTAGAAAATTATTTAATGATTATATTGATCTAAATGATAAGATAATATAAATTAATACTGACAATATAATTATTTTAAGTAGTTAAAAATATAAAAGTAATAATAAAATATGATAAAATTTATTCGTTGTTTCTATTCACATAGAATTAGTTATAGGGTGCGGGTGGGGTCGGGAGTGGGACTGGGAGTGGAAGGGGGAGGGAGTGGGGGAGGGATTAAATTTCATTAATGAGGAAAAATATGATAGTTGAACTTTTGTATGATTAGGAAACTAAAACAAGATATCACAATATTAAAAAATGATAAATAATATTCTAATATTATATAAAATATTGCATACGTGCTTGGGCTGTGAGTGTTCTCAACCACATGAATAGTTCAATGTACTCATCGGCGCCTAACCCTGAGATGTGGATCATCCAAAGCACATTAGCATGACGTACTCATCCTGTTCGAACCCGGGTTTGAAGCCAAACCCCCCTTAAGAGGATAGATGGGGCGATTCGGCTGAGATCTAATGTATTATGTGGTTTCATATACTCACTCAAATCTCAATTTTATTGTTTTTGTTGAGGTAGAATTCATTTATTCAGTTGCTTATGTCGAATCAGACATGTTTATATTTGACCCTCTCCGATCCACTTATTTGTTAGTGTTATTAGTGTGCTTACTTATCTTGTTGAACCCATCGACGAAAATCATGCCTCTGCCTTTTGCAATATTTTTAATACTTTTGCATATACATTTATATGAATATTATCTATGTTGAGATGATTTTCCCCAGAATATTTCTTCTTAACTCCAACATTGATCCGTTTAAGATTTTCTTTCAATAAGTCGACTTCAACCATTACCTTGACAAAACTAGGTCTAGATTTGCTTATTGCAGCCATAACAGCAGGTAACGATTTTCCCACTACTTTGGCCAACGTAAACGATGTTTCTTTAAAGAAAAATTTAGGTGATAAGCATGAAAACGAGATCCATTCTATGTAAGTGGTAGTTTCTGCCTCAGTATTGAACTATCCCATTTTAGAGGTCACATAAGATATTATATCGGTCTTTAGCCTTCAAAAAAAATGTCTGTTTCGAAATGACATATACGTAATCTTTCATATTGGTAAGCCGAATTAAATGTGTCTATAACTCAAGAATCTTTCTTACATTCAGGCTTTAATGTCACATTGTAAAGGATCAATTTACAAATCTTTCTAGGTTTGATCTGCCACATAGTAAACCTTCTTTAAGGATCATGATCTAAACCTCTTATTCCTCCCAAAATACAGTTGGTCTCCATGGATGTAAGTAATATCTTTGATAGGGCTAGGCATATTGATTTTGTTAAAAGTCGTTATAGTTCAATGGTGGTTTTGGTGGTGGTTCACCAGCATGGAGCGTAGACCATCTATGACTGGTGTTGACAATGACGTTTACCAACTAAGTTAATCTGATAAAAAATTTGGATTTTGGTATGAATTCCTTTGGTAGCTTTATCACTACCGGAATACCATATTATTGTAACACATAAGTTGAGAAAAGACGAGTAGAAGAATGTTTTATTAGGAAAAAAATTTATATAGATTGTAGAAACATCAAAAAACTGATTTGGAAGGGAATGTAAGGAAAAATAGTCCATGTATTTGTATATTATTTTTTAGTACTATGTTTGGTAGTAATATGTGACCTATTTATACCTAATTCTTAGATTAGTTGTACACCCTACCTTATATATGACGTATGACTAATACCTTATATTTGGCAATATTAGGAATACATATAATTTTATACCGCAATATAAGTCTATGTAAAACAAAATAAAATATATCCCTCAAATTCTTTTAACAATTTTATTTATTTTCTGTATTTTATGTTTTATATTTTCAGTACTACATTTATTGAAATAAACTAGCTTACAATTTTTAAAATTTAGAGAGAGTTGTTTGTCGTTAAATAAATCCAATTCAAATCAATATAATATTTGAAATGTGAGTTGTTTTACATTTACTAATCAAAAGACAAATATATCACTATATGAAGTTTGTGATCTTTAATGAATGGGGGTCTCCAAATGATGATTCACTAGGGAAATTTAATGGTAAATGCAAAATTTGTGTTATCATTAAATCATGAAGGTTTAATGAATCATTTAATATATATATATTTTTTAAAAAATTGTTGTCAAATAAAGCGGAGGTCAAGTGCTATCTAATACTATAATTCTACTTAGGAAAGTTATTTAATATTTAAACATTAAGGTTTCACAAATCATTTAATATATATATTTTTTTTAAAAAATTGTTTTAACAAAAAATGGCGGTCAAGTGCAATACAATAATATAATTCTAATTAGAAAAAAATATTTATAGCTTAATTATGATGATAAGATCTATATACATCGAGACAAGGAATGAAGGGAAAATGAATCTAATGTTTTAGTTTGCAATACTTTTCTTCAATGCAAAAAAGGAAAGAACATAAATTTCTAGGCTCCTCAAGATTTCTTATATAAAGTTGTTGGCGTTCATACCAAAAATCACAATTTACTTTCACAATTTCTTAGTGATAGTTTAGAATGACAACAAGGATTAACAAGGGTCGTCAAAGGGTTGACATGGTGAAAATGAAGAATGCGAGGAATTTACAAGTTACATTTTCTACGCGTCTTGCTGGTCTGTTCAAAAAGTCTAATGAACTCTGTATGTTGTTTAATGCTGAAATTTTCATTGTGGTATTTTCACAGGGTGATAAAGGAGTTTTGTGCTTTGATCACCCTAGCGTGAACCCATTGGCAGAAGGGTTCTTTGAGTGGAACCTCCCTCAACCACATATTAATGTCCACAATCAACATATTGTGGCTCGTAAAGAAGGCGGTACTCGTGATTTGAGTACCAAGCTCATGAGCCTCGAGGCGATTCTCGAGAAAGAAAAAAATTGCGGACAAATCCTTATAGAAATTAGGAAGAGAGCTAATAGTCTATGATGAGGATATCCTATCAAAGAAATTAACTTATTCCAACTACAATACTTGAAGAAGGCAATGGAAATTCTTAAGAAAAAGGTTGAAAAAGAGGCACAACTGTTGAATAACACTCCATTTCTGAAATTGCGAAGTGCTTGGACTCCTCCTTATTCGGTTAGGTAAAGTTATTCATATGGAATCCATTTTGGTTGACCCTTTGCTAATACGATTAGTGGATTTACTTCTTCCACAGTTTCCAATTACAAGTGTGCGTCTTATGGAAATATCAAAAGTAAAATTTAAAACATAAGTAGTATATCTAGTTTCTAGGTTCATTTGTCATTTGAGGTGTTCCTCATGAAATGTTTATGAGTTATGATTCAATCGAAGTAAGTACTAAGTGTTGTGTTCAAATATGATTCAAATGAAAATAATAATTTTTATTATATATGTTATGTTCTAAGTCTATTTTCATGTTTATTTTATCATTTGATTTGCATAACATATAATATCTTCTTTATCAAAATATATCAAGACATTACAAACATTGTAGAAAAAAACGTGATAGGCTGTTATATCATATATCATGCTAGAATTAATTTCTCCAATACTATCTAGAATCTCCTCAAGATTATGCAACTCATGTAATATTATTTTCTCAAGCATCGGAAAATTATCATTACCTGCTTCCCACCTTTGTAGATCTGCTTATGTAATTCGTATATATTTTAATTTGTGAAACACAACATCTTCATTTACTTTCCAATCTGTTCCGGTGAATGCATAAAATCGTTCGAGAATGGGTAAATTAGGCAACAAAGTCATGACTTCCTATGGTATACAATTACCTTTTAAGGAAAATATCCTTGAGAAAATCATGATCTATCAATGGATTGCGAAATCTTTAGAGCTTTTAGATTCGAAGTTCTTCTTTTGATTTCTGCGGAAAAAGGAGAATAATGAAGATAAAGTATGTTCAAGTTATTGAGAAGAAAATGTTTTTGTTAAAGAGGATTATATATATATATATATATATATATATATATATATATATATATATATTGTGGCTATCCAATATCAAAATGTCTTTTCCCTAACATTTTACAGATATATATCTACCAGGATCATCAACCCTGTCCCTTTCTCTTCGAAGAGTTATGGTCCATAGATTTCTCAATTCTCGCATAAACATATGTCAAATATAGAAGGATAGATATTAAGAGAAGTCATATTCATTTGAAAATACGTCCAATACCTTAAGTTCTTCAACCGTAAGACAAAGGTGCGGATTATACCATTGCTATGTTGCATACTTTCACGACCAAACACGTGGGGTTATGCAGGCACCCACTCTAACACCTAAGTAGGAGAACCCTCATATCCCAATAGTTAAACATGCGGAAAATTTAATAAAGTAGAGAAATTTAAAACATGATTTTTATGAATGACATCTTTTGACACACATTTAGTTAAAACTTGTAAAGTAATTTAACAACTCCCATGGATCTAGTCTAACAAGTACAAGAGATACTAAGAATACAACTGCACAAGTTAAATAAAATACACAACTCCCATCATGCGGAAGAAGTAATAAAAGCTGTTGGAGAATTTCTTGCTCTTCACCTAATGAAATGTCAGCAATCATGCATTCAGACTCTGTGCAATGAGGAATACCAATAATATTACTAGTACAATTACACATACTGGAAGGCATCATCAGTCAATGTGATGCCCACCACATAGAATAAGAAATCAACTAGTAGAATAATGAATTAAACCACTTGTTTCTCCACCTTTACCCTTTCTTAGAAAACATTTAGTTTAAACGAGTACTCTAAATACTAACAACTTTCTCAACAACTAACTCACCCATTTTTTGATCATAGCCTAAACATACTAACACATTAACGATTTCCCAGTTTCTTTCATAAGCACACCAACTATCCATTCAAGTCATACACTTACTCCCTCGTCACTTTACTCAATCATGATCACATAGTACACTATGTCACTTTCCTTACAACTAGCCCCAATCTCTTTCCCCACGGTGAAACTCACGTAAACATATTTCATCTCATACACTATCTCTACTTCTATTTCACAATTACAACATATGCACATTTCTCCCTATCCTTTACTCGTTCTGTGAACCATTGCCCTTCAACCATAAGCCACAACATCGCGCAAACACAGGGACGATCAAACATAAACCATCACCACTAAGTGCAACATATATGACATAATACAACAATATCATCACATGAAGACATAAAACATATAGAATAACATCGACATGAAGAGCAACAATGTATTTCCCAATTCTCAATTTACACAATTATGTCAAGTAGTTGGTCCTGTCATGGAACCCAAACCCAAATTGTTAGTGCATCGGAGCGTGGTACCCTATACCATAGTTATGCTTGAACTTAGAATTTTGATCCCAATTTTATTCTAGATTGTGGCAATCCCACCCCAGTTAGCTATGCCGAAACGTGGCAATCCGATCCATCAATACACCAAAATAAAAAACACAAGTATAGTTTCAACTCATACAATCAAAAAGTGATTCATGAAATATATTCATTCATCTATCTCATTTACTAAAAATTATTAATCAGCCATGAAACATTCACACACATACATTCATCATAATAAAGCAATAACAAGAATACATCACACAATCATAGAATCACAACCATAACCTACAAAGGGCTTCCTCGCCACACACCTCCTACAAACCCTAATTTTAAAATACTAAGGCCTAATTCATTGTCTAAGTCTTTTTACTAGGGTTTAAATCACAAATCATTCAATGCATGAAGGCCTACGCAGAAATTCAACACTCAATTTACATATATTAAGCATGAGAATGCAATTAAACTACTCAATTCATAAAACCTAACCTACAAGGGCCAAGCAATTGCAAAGATCTTTTCACTTCAATTCCTATTTATGGGATTCGTGATGGTCAAATTGGCCATGAATTTGAATGATTTTTCCATTCCCACAATAGAAATTTCGTTTTCCATGATTCCCAAGATAGATGAACTTTTTTGAGTTTTCTAGGGTGTTTTACTACTTATTTAGGTGTTTTGAAAAGATAGAGAAAATGAATTTCTCATAATTTACATTCTGCATCTCCTATCCCATATCGTACAAGCATACCCTGCCCTGGTGCTGCCACCCTAGTGGCATATGACCCGCTATGTTTCTCTTCAAGTGTAGATAGAAGGATCACTAACCATTGAGCATATATGGATTTATGAAGGCATACTTGGCGAAAAAGATCATGAACATTCAAGTTCTTATCATTCCATTAATCCTTCGCGTACAAGCCCAAATTAGACTTCTATCAGTTGACTCTACTAGATACTCCTATGTCACAACTTATAACCTTTTATTCTTTCTAATCAACGTGTAAACATTTATATCCTTTTCTTCAGGAAAACCTCCAAAGAAAGAATTGATTGAAACTATTCAGATACAATACCAAGAATCAGTTCAGTTTCCTCAACATTCATCCAATTAGCATGTGTTGGGTCCATTTGACCAAGAAGTCTTGCAACAACAATAATCGAAAGAGGTAATCCTTGACGTTGTAGTACAATATGCTTTCCTTGTTGTACACGTAGAGGAGGAAACAAATCTTTTTTGATAATTTTTTTTGGTGAAGTTCAAACTACCATCAAGACTTATAAAGGCTTTCCATGAGGTAAAAAATCAAGACAACTAACATAATTAGCACCATACAAGAGCCCAATGTTTAACATAAATTGTCTTCTATTGTAATTATTTGGAAATATTCTTTGAATTTGGTCCCATGACTCAGTACTTCATATATCATCTTTTACAATTACAAATCTCTCACCCTCCAGACCTCTTTAAACGATCTTCGTTAGTTGATCATCTCTCATTTCTTGATTGCTTCTTGTAATGGTAGAGACAACTTCAAGAAGCATTTGTCTCTCATTATATTCTTTGAAGATAGTGACCATGCCTGTTTATCAAATTGAGAACAAATATTATCATCATAAACTTTTTTGGCAAGAGTTTTCTTACCTATATTGTATAGGAAATATAGAAGGAGTATATTATGTTTAGAGAATGCTCAAGATTTATATAGGATACTTAATACCACTTGAGATGATCATAATAATCAATTACATCCCTACTTATAGTTGTAAAATGTACAACCAAAAGGCTTGCACAACATACGAGAAAAATGTACCACATTTAATTGGATAAATGTATTACAAACTCCTAAAGGACTTCATAAAAAATTAAGAGAGGATTTTGTATGACTAAACACTAATGTGGATGCATTAATTGAAACACTCCCACTTAAAGCATTTGCTTGACAACTCCAATGAGTTATCAGATATTGCTAATTTTTTCTCTAGGAAGTTCTTTGGTGAAGATGTCAGCAAGTTGTTCTCTTGAGTGACAATAACGCAATTGAATTTTTTCTTTCCCTTATGTTTATCCGACAAAATTATACTTGATAGTAATATGCTTTTATCTTGCATGGTTGACTGGACTCTTGGCAATTGCATTTGGTGATTTGTTATAACATTACATAATAATCCCTCTTTTTTATATTTAACCAATGTCTTCTAATATTATCCTAAGCCAAAAATCTTTAGAAGTACCTTCAGCTATTGAGGCATATTCTGCTTTGGCAGTGGATTGAGCATAAACAATTTATTTTTTATAAAAAAGAACAAATACTTGATCCAAATACGAAAGAGTAACGAGAAGTAGTCTTCATGTCATTTATACTTCCCGCCCAATCACTATCAAAATAACCAATTTAGTTCAAATCTCCACCAAATTTATATATTATCCCTTAATCCATTGTTCCTTGTAAGTAGGATAGAACACTCTTTGCATCTCCAAAATGCAATTGGCTTGGTTATTGCATGAATATGGATAATAAACTAGCAGCAAATATAATGTCAGGCATTGTTGAAGTAAGATAAAGCAAGCTTCCAATAAAGCTCCTATAAAGTGAGATATTACTT